TGGCTAACACTTATTTTTTGTCTTTTTAATAATAACCAACCTGATGTGAGGTAAATGTGAGGTAAAATTGTGGTTTTGATTTGCAGTTCTCTGATTTGCATTTCCCTGATGTTGAGCATCTTTTCACGTGCCTATTGGCCATCTGTAAGTCTTCCTTGGAAAAATCTCTATTCAATTTCTCTGTCCAATTTTAAATCAGGTTGTTTGGGCTTTTTTCTTTTATATTAAGTTGTGTAAACTATATATATTTTGAATATTAACCCCTTATCAGATGTATGATTTGCAGATACCTTCTCCCATTCAATAGGTTGCCTTTTCATTTTGTTGATGGCTTCCTTCTCTGTGCAAAAGCTTTTTACTTTGATCCCATTTATTTATTTTAGCTTTTGTTGCTTTTGCCTGAGGAGACTAGTCCCCCCTCCCCGCAAAAATATTGCTAAGACCAATGTCAAAGGGTTCACAGCCTATGTTTTCTTCTAGGAGTTTTATGGTTTCAGGTCTTGCATTCAAGTCTTTAATACATGATGTGAGATAATGGTCCAGTTTCTTTTGCATGTGGCTGTCCAGTTTTCCCAACAGCATTTATTGAAAAGATTCTCTTGCCCACTTTGAAGAGAGTGTTCTTACCTACTTTGTCATAGATTAATTGACCATATAAGCATGGGTTTATTTCTGGGCTCTCTAGTCTATTCCATTAATCTAGGTGTCTATTTTTGTGGCAGTACCATACTGTTTTGATTACTATAGCTCTGTAGTATAGTTTGAAGTCAGGGAGCATGATACCTCCAGCTGTGTTCTCCTTTCTCAAGATTGCTTTGGCTATTTGGGGTCTTTGTCATTTCAAATAAATTTTAGGATTTTGTTTTGTTTTGTTTTAGTTCTATGAAAAATGCCCTTGCTATTTTGATGGGCATTGCTTTGAATCTGTAAATTTCTTTGGGTAGCATACACATTTAAACAATACTAATTCTTCCAGTCTATGAGCACTGTGTATCTTTCCATTTGTGTCAGCTTCAATTTCTTTCATACTGATGATGATGATGATGTCTTACAGTTTTCAGAGTACAGGTCTTTCACCTATTTGGTTAAAATTATTCCTAGGTATTTTATTCTTTTTGATGCAATTGTAAATGGATTGTTTCTTTCCTTTTCTGATAGCTTGTTAGTATATAGAAATGCAACCGATTTATGTATATTAATTTTGTATCCTGCAAGTATACTGAATTCATTTATTAGCTCCAGTAGTGCTTAGGATTTTCTGTATATAGTATCATGTCATCTGTAATTAGTGACACTTTTACTTCTTCCTTTCCAATTTAGATGCTTTTTATTTCTTTTTCTGGCCTAATTGTTGTAGCTAGGATTTTCAATACTATGTTGTATAAAAGTGGCAAGAGTAGGCATCCTTGTCTTCTTCCTGATCTTAGAGAAAAAACTTTCAGCTTTTCTCTGTTGAATATAATGTTGTGGGTTTGTCATATATGGGCTTTATCATGTTGAGATACATTTCTTCTATACCCACTTTAAGAGTTTTTATCATAAATGGATGCTGAATTTTGTCAAATGCTTTTTCTGCATCAATTAAGATGATCATATGATTTTTATCCTTTGTTTTTTTTCTGTGGTGTATCATATTGATTGATTTAAGGAAGTTGAACCACCCTTGTATCCCTGGAATACTGTATACCCTGAAATCCCACTTGATTGTGGTATATGATCTTTTTCATGTGTTGTTGAATTTAGTTTGCTAGTGTTTTGTTGAGGATTTTTGCATATGTGTCCTTTAAGGAATATATGCTTATAATTTTCTTCTTTTCTTGTATCTGGTTCTGGTATTGGGTAATTCTACCTTTGTAAAATGAGCTTGGAAGCATTTCTTCCTCTTCAATTTTTCTGGAATAATTTGAGAAGGATAGGTAACTAATTCTTTTTTAAATGTTTGGTAGAACTCACCTGTAACAACATCTGGTTCTGGACTTTTGTTTGTTGGGAGTTTTAAAATTACTGATTCAATTTCATTATTAGTAATCAGTCTACTTGGGTTTTCTGTGTCTTTATGATTTGGTCTTGCAAGGTTGTGTATTTCAAGGAATTTATTCATTTCTTCCAGGTTTTCCATTTTGTTGATGTGTAAGCGTTCATAATAGCCTCTTGTGATCCCTTATATTTCTGTGGTGTCAGTTGTGACTTCTTTCATTTCTGATTTTATTTGGGCCCTCTGTCTTTTTTCTTGATGACACTGGCTAGAGATTTATTGATTTTGTTTATCTTTTCGAAGAACCAGCTTTCAGTTTCATTGATCTTTTCTATTTTTTTAGTCTCTATTTCATTTATTTCCACTCTGATCTTTATTATTTCCTTCGTTCTACTAACTTTGGGCTTTGTTTGTTATCTTTATTCTTTTTCTAGTTCATTTAGGTGTAAAGTTAGATTGTTTATTTGGGATTTTTTTTGTTTGTTTCTTGAGGTAGGCCTGTCTCACTATGAACTTCCGTCTTAGAATTGCTTTTTGCTGTGTCACACAAATTTTGAAACATTGTGTTTCCATTTTCAAGTTGTTTTTTATTCTCTTTCTTTCTTCACTGACCCACTGATTGTTTAGTAGCATGTTGTTAGTCTCCACATGTTTGTGTTTTTTCCAGTTTTCTTCTTGTAATTGATTTCTAGTTTCATGTTGTGACCAGAAAAGATGCCTGTCTTGGTTTTAATCTTCTTGATTTTATTGAGACTTGTTTTGTGGCCTAACATTGTGGTTGATCCTGGAGAATATTCCATGTACACTTGTAAAGAATGTATATTCTGTAGTTTTAGATGAAGTGTTCTGTATAAAACTGTAAAGTCCTTCTGGTCTAGTGTGTTGTTTTAGGTCACTGTTTCCTTATTGATTTTTTTTTTTTGCCTGGGTGATCTATGTATTCATGTAAGTGGGGTGTTAAAGTCCCCTACTATTATTGTATTACTGTCAGTTTCTCTATGTCTGTTAATATTAGCTTTATATATTTAGGTGCTCCTATGTTGGGTACATTAATATCTATAAATTAATTGATTCTTGGATTGACCCCTTTATCATTATGTAATGTCCTCCTAGTCTTTTGTGACAGACTTTGTTTTAAAGTGTATTTTATCTCCAGGGCATCTGGGTGGCTCAGTTGGTTAAGCATCTGCCTTCAGATCAGGTTATGATCACGGAGTCCTGAGGTCGAGTCCCACGTTGGGCTCCCTGCTCAACGAGGAGTCTGCTTCTCCCTCTCCCTCTGCCCCTCCCCATGCTACTTCTCTCTCTCTCTCACTCATTCTCTCTCTCTCTCTAAATAAATAAAATATTAAAAATAATAAAGTCTATTTTATTTGATATGATTATTGCTATTCTTTCTTTTCATTCCCATTTACATGGAATATTTGTTTCCATCTCTTCACTTTCAGCCTGTGTGTCTTTGATCTGAAGTGAGTCTCTTGGAGGCATCATATTTGTAGTCTTCTATTTTTATCCATTCAGCCAACCTATGTTTTTTTATTGGAGCATTTAGTCCATTTATATTTAAAGTATTTATTGATGAGTATGTACTTATTGCCATTTTGTTAATTGTTTTCTGATTATTTTTGTAGTTTTTCTCTGTTTATTTCTTCCTCTCTTTGTCTTCTCCTCTGTAGTTTGATGGTTTTCTTTAGTGTTATGTTTGGGTTCTTTTCTCTTTATTTTGTGTGTACCTATTGCAGGTTTTAGGCTTGTGGTTACCATGAGGTTTATCTATGTTGATCTATTTATATAGCAGGTTTTTTTTTAAGATTTTATTTATTTGACAGAGAGAGACACAATGAGAGAGGGAACACAAGCAGGGGGAGCAAGAGAGGGAGAAGCAGGCTTCCCGCTGAGCAGGGAGCCCAATGTGGGGCTCGATCCCAGGACCCTGGGATCATGACCTGAGCCGAAGGCAGACGCTTAATGACTGAGCCACCCAGGCACCCCTATGTAGCAGTTTATTTTAAGCTGATAGTCACTTAAGTGTGAATGAGCCTAAAAGCACTTCCTTTTTTACCTCTCCCCATGTTTAATGCTTTTGACATCATATTTTATATCTTTTTATTTTGTGTATTTTTTAACTACTTAGGTAGTTATGGTTATTTTTACTATTTTTGGTTTTTAACCCATACTAGCTTTTAAGTGGCTGATCACAGCCTTGACTATATATTTGCTTTACTAGTGAGATTTTTTTCTTTTATATATTTTCTTATTTCTAGTCATGGCATTTTCTTTTCCAGTTAAAGAAGATGCTTTAACGGTTCTTGTAAGGCTGGTTTAGTGGTGATGACCTCCTTTAGCTTTTGCTTGTCTGGAAAACTCTTTCTCTCCCCTTTAATTTTGAATGATAACCTTGTAGGGTAGAGTATTCTTGGTTGTAAGTTCTTCCCTTTTAGCACTTTAAATATATCCTGCTACTCCCTTTTGGCCTACAAAGTTTCTGCTGAAAACTCATGCCCAGTGTAGGATTTTAAAGACCCGCATGCAGTCTGTCTTTTTAGTTTACCAAATGTGAAAAAAACAACAACAACAAACCATATAGTCTATCAATGCATATGTCACATAGCTTTTTTTTTTTTTTAAGATTTTATTTATTTATTTGACAGCGAGAGAGGGAACACAAGCAGGGGAGTGGGAGAGGAAGAAACAGGCTTCCTGCCAAGCAGGGAGCCCGATGCGGGACTCAATCCAGGACCCTGGGATCATGACCTGAGCTGAAGGCAGACGCTTAACGACTGAGCCACCCAGGCGCCCCAGCTTTCTTTTTTTTTTTTTTTAAATGAGAAGCTACTTATAAAACAATGTAGAAACAAAGTTTATTCATCTGTGTTAAAAAATGGCACAAATTCTTTTAGAACACCAATACAGCAATGAACGTACATCTTAGGGAATGTAAAACAAATTAAATCCTAATTAGCTTTTACTTGTTTTGCCTTGGTCAGATTAGAAATGTGAGTCACTGGTTATGTTTACAAAAGGACTAATCAGAGAGAGAAAAACAGTTTTATTACAATATAGATTTTCCATTCACTTTGTATTCTGGTCTGTACTCCAAGAATAAAGCTCATTCCTTTTTGAAGATCCTCTGGGCTTCTACTCCTTCATATATGTAAGTCTGAAAGGTGTTAACAAGCATAGAAGAAATTGACATTAAGATTTAAGGCTCAGTTAAGAAAAATGTTAGTATTATTATAGCTTTGAAATGATTATAGTATTTTTTTCTTAGTCTTTATAGCAACATTTTATACAAACACATTTTTGGTTTTTAGTCACATTTTTAGTTAAAATAAGTAAGATTTATGAGAAAAATAATAGTTTATTTGTTGAAGATATAACTCAGCAATCACAAATATAAAATTATTATTATGTAATTATTTTTGTCTTTAGGAAGTAGCTATGATCTTTTTACCACTCACCTGAACCAATTCACCATCTATAATTTCTCGGATAGCATTCAGTTCATTTCCATTGTCTATCCGTTTGAATTTTCCAACAAGTTTATTTCCTTCTAGGTTCCAAGTACCCTATAAATGTAAAATAATAGTAATAAATAATAATAATAATAATAACAAATAGCTTTTTTAAGGGTCTTACATATGTTAGGCACTGTTCTGAGTATTATAGATCTACTTCTTCAGTCTTCAAATGACCTTATGAAGTAGATATTACTGTCTCCATTTTATGGTTGAGAAAAATGGGACACAATAATTCACCTAAAGTCATAGAGGCAGGATTGAACCTAGGCTTTTGGGGCTCTAGATTATATGCTGGTAACCCTTATGTTTGTCTCACTCAGTTGTTTCCAAATGCTAAATTTTAAGGTAGATGAGCAATGCTTCCTTTTTCTAAATCTTTCATGTTAAAAAGAGTATCCTAAATTTAGTCATGGTTCAAGTTAGTTTCATGGAGAGCCTAACAACACTGTGTATGTTCTAATTTTATAATTGTTGTAATAATTTAAAAATGGCCATTGGGATGCCTGGCTGGCTTAGTTGATGGAGCATGCAACTTTTGATCTTGGGTTGTGGGTTCAAGTCCCATGTTGGGTGTAGAGATTGCTTACAAATAAAGTCTTTAAATAAATAAATGGCCATAAATGATAAAATATTTGACAGTTTGTCATTACAAACATATAATTTAACTAGAAAATCCTGAGGACAAAAATGTTTTAAAAACTCAGTTGAGGGGCGCCTGGGTGGCTCAGTTGGTTAAGCGACTGCCTTCGGCTCAGGTCATGATCCTGGAGTCCCGGGATCGAGTCCCGCATTGGGCTCCCTGCTCGGCAGGGAGCCTGCTTTTCCCTCTGACCCTCCCCCCTCTCACGTGCTCTCTCTCTCTCACTCTCTCTCAAATAAATAAATAAAATCTTTAAAAAAAAAAAAAACTCAGTTGAAAAATACGACTATCTAAAATTTTTTATTTTAAACATTAAAAGATGTATTCCCAGTGACCTACAATGTAGCATGCATCAGACTTTTCCATTTGGTCACCCATTCATTAATTAATTTATTCATTTATTTTATTATTTTAGTGTATTTTTTAAATGACTATTAAGCTTAAGTTAGATAAATCTAAAAGCTTTTGGTGCTATCAGGTATGTAAAGTTGAAAACACTGAGCTTCAGTTTTCTTTATGAATAATAGGTCTATATTTAATCATCCAAAGGATGTTTTTCTAATTCTTATTGTTCAATCCAGATTATTTACAGATGTATGAAAATAAAAACATTAGACTTAAATATCCTGCCAATTTGTGCAATATATAATGTGGATAAATTCTATTGGCTGCTTCAGTAAATGAAGGAGGCTTAACATTAAACATCCAGTGACAGAAAAGAGATTATTTTAATATTGTGTAGAAAAATCAAGAATGTATTGCTTGTAAAAAGTATCTTACACTGAGTTCAGTTCCATCTGCTAGGCTGTAATTAAAAGTGACACCAAGCTCAAAAACAATTTCAATGGTACGAAAAGTGCTTGATTCTTTGACGGTGAATTTATTTCCTTCTTGTGTAACTGTCAGTTTCAAATTGTCATGAGCTGCAAGCTTCCTTTTCACCATGTTAACACCTGCAAAGCAAAAGATGTTGGAGAAAATAGAGTCAAAATGCCATAGAAAGTGTTTATTTCAACAAGTTCTGTTTTATTTATTTGTTTATGTACATTTTGAGGGTGGGAAGGAAAACTTGATTGCATTGCCTTTGTACAAGAGCATTCAGATTGCCTCTTACAGAAAAAATTCAGGCTTAGTCAGATCAAGAGTAGTGATTCAAGTTATGTTTCCAAAACTTATGAGAAATTAAATGAAAAACAGAATTGTAGAATCTTACAACTGAGTAATTTTAATATAATTATCAAACTTTTTGCTTCAGTGTTAATTAAACTAAATTCCAGAAATGTCAAACAAAGGATTAAATATATTAATATATTTATAAGGAACTTTAATTCTGCATAAACAGTATTTTTAAACATTTTTTGACTTTCCATAATGGCTTTAAAATTTTGAACTTCATAATTCTCTTTGCTTTTTGTGGCATTTCTATCACAAAAATGAGAAAATTGGCAAAGATTGCAGTCAAATTCATTATTGTAAGAATGTGCAAATCCCATAAATTTCAACATGGAATTCTGGAACTATAGGATATAATTGATGCAAATTTTGTTTTTGGGGAATGACTCCAATTTGTTTGCACATCTCACACAGTGTATGAGCTGCCAGAGTATTGGAATAGATATTAAATTTGTTAAATTAAAACCCGCATAGAAACCACATGGAATCATGAGATTATTCCCAAAATTTTATGTCAGAGGAAATGAGAATTACATCTAATTTATTTAGAGCTGTGAATCATGATAGAACTTTTTTTTCCCCATTGCTTTACTATATGATCTTTGTTTTTCCATCCCCTAGAATTCAACGTTTTGAAGTTTTCATTATGCACTGCCCTTTTTTACTCTCTAAACCAAAAAAAAAAGAGTAAGTTTTCAATGATACAGGCACAATCAGCAGTTGAAGAGTGAGTGAATCATACCTGGATCTTTTTTGTTTCAGAGAACTCAATCTTTTCTCCCACTAGTGAAACTGTAGTTTTCCTAATATAAGAAGTGAGAATATTGTTTTCCCTACTCTGAGCCTCATACATTTTGGATCCTCACCACCAGAACAGGAGTCATTCCCTAAACCCTGAGGTTTAGAAGGAATTAGAAGGAAAAATGTCTGTGAAGAACAAAATAACAAGCCACTAAAGAATTAAGCCCTTACCCATTTTTTCCATGAACTTGTCATAGTTCGCGTTCCGGTCTATCTTCCAAGTACCATCAAAAGCCATGATCTTCAGCTGAGTCAGCCTCTAAGCAATCAGAGATTCAGGTCTGTCCTTAGGAGACAATTTATTCTAATTCTTATCTTAGAACCAGCTTCATACTGTGATGTGGAAGTTTAAAGTTTAAAAGGTCACTTAACTACACTAATGCCCAGCCATTGTGGTTTATCTTTCTATAAATTTCTTAGTTCCTCTCCGGAAATTCAACTGAATTACAGTTGACCCTTGAACAACATGGGTTTGAATTGCATGGATCCACTTATATATGGATTTTTTTCAATAAATACAGTACAATATTGTAAATGTATTTGTTCTTCCTTATTTTTTAAATATTTTCTCTAACTTACTTTAGTGTAAGACTATAGTCTGTAATACATATGACATACAAGATATGTATTAATTGACTGTTTATGTTATCAGGAAGACTTCCAGTCAACAGTGGACTATTAGTGTTTCAGTTTTTGAGGAGTCAAAGGTTATACAAGGATTTTTGACTGCATGGGGAGGGTTGGTGCCCCTGACCCCTCCCCCCATGTTGTTCAGGAGTCAACTATAAAACATGATAAACAGTACCTAGTCTATCTCAAACTACAACTTGTGAGTACATTTATTTCAAGAACTAGAATGTGTACTCTCTTAAAATAGGTTTTCTGCTTATAAGTTCAAAGTGCTCACTACATTGGAGGTAACACAATTTAGAACATATATCAGATAACATCTGGGAAATGAGACAATTAATGACCTATCCCTTTTTTACAATAGCAATTACCTTGTAAAGTAAGATTTTATGACCAAATATAAATAAAAAGTTAAAGTTAATATGATACTGAGACTGAAGTTTTATTTATTTTACTAATATGTTCTTTTGCATTGTGCTTTTGGGTTGCCAGGAGTTTGGTAAATATCCTGACACCTGGTACAGTCCATAACACATGGGTGCTCACTGGGGTTTTTGTTTTGGTCTTGAATGATGATAGGCAGCTGAGAAAAATATTAAGAGGTAGAAATGTAGCTAGATAACTCGAAAACTTCCATTAGAGAAACAGTTTTAAACATCTGCCATGTAAAGAGAAAACAAAAACCAGATATCAGCTATGCCATTAATTAAAACCATTCCTTGGTTTTACTCTTATTCCCTCTCATCCCCAATCCTGGTGCAATCAGAAGCTAAAAGTCAATATGTATATGGGACGAGACCATGGAGGATAGCTAAAAAGGTAAAAAGTAAAGGAGGTCACCATATCTCTCCTTTCCCCCACTGCAGGCTTTCAGCCTGGAGCAGGACTGAGCTGGTAGAGGAAACACATTAACTTATTATGACGTGTAGAGTTTTGGTTATTAACTAGTCTGAATATATCACTTGCTAAGAAGAGACCATTATTGTGAATAAATGTGACCAAAGAAACTCTTATTAACTCAAGGTCAGTAGAGAAACTAAAGAGCATGCCCAACATTTCATTCAGGGTTAGAGGAAGGATGTATCTTAACGCATTTGAACAGGAAACTGGGGAAATAGAATTAAGTTTTTAATTTTTTTTTTAAGTAGGCTTCATGCTGGGCATGAACTCACGGGGCTTGAACTCACAACCCTGAGATCAAGACTGAGCTGAGATCAAGAATCAGATGCTTAACCAACCAAGTCACCCAGGCATCTCTAGTTTTTAATTTTGATTGTATCCATTAGGCACACTTTTTCAGTGGAGTTGCCCACTTATTATTTTATCAAGTAAACACATTAAAAAGCTAACTACCTTCCACTAGCTCCATTATTTCATTAAGAGAGAAAAAGACATCAAAACAGAGAGAGAGAAAGGGAGAGGGGTGTTGGGGAAGAGAGATTGTAATTTTAGAATACTAGAAGTCCTTTACATTTGTAACTAACTTTATGAAAAAAAAAATGATTACTTTGTTTTTCTCCCTTTTATCAAAGATAATGAAAACTCATCATTTGGGAACCATAACCCTAGTATACTTCCATTTGAGAAGGGAGCATAATAGGATCAGGTAAGCAAATAGCACTTGAACTCATGCCAACCTACTAACAGAATGGACATGTTAAACTTTTCAGTCTTCCATTTATCAGTGGCAATCTCCTAATTTAAAGTCAGGAGTCCCTGTTGTCTGTAGAGTGGCACCCTTGGATTTTTTAAATGAGTAGATCAAATTTTTAACATTATACTTTTCCAGCTTCCCAACTCTGTAGCTTCTCAATTCTTTTTTTTTTTTTTTTTTTTTTTTTTTTTGAGAGAGAGAATGAGATAGAGAGAGAGCATGAGAGGGGGGAGGGTCAGAGGGAGAAGCAGACTCCCTGCTGAGCAGGGAGCCTGATGTGGGACTCGATCCCATGACTCCAGGATCATGACCTGAGCCGAAGGCAGTCGCTTAACCAACTGAGCCACCCAGGCGCCCTGTAGCTTCTCAATTCTTACTACTCAACTGGACCCAGCTAGAAAAGATTATATAGAACCTATAGACCAAGTTCCCTGCAGACCTCTCCTACTGATGATACAACTGGACCATCTGGCTGAGGGCTGACCCAGTTCTTTATTTTCTTCTCTGATAAAGCTAGAAGACTAAGGGTCCTGCAGCTTGGGAGAGTGGGTGGATTAGGTGTGTGGGCGCAGATGCTCTCTCTCTCTCTCTCTCTAGGCTCATAGTCCATGTTAGTCACGGAGTGGTATGGAAGAAGTGGAAATCAACAGAAGCTCCTGGTGATCCCTATCCCATCCCTGCAGGGGATTGTAAGAATTACATTCCTAACATGGCTTATGAAGCCCCTACTCATTTTCCCTGCACCAAGCCCTGTGCTATGACACATGCATGGTTTCTAGGCTCAGCTGAATCGTCCGCACTGTCTGGCAAGACTTCTCTGGGTCCCAGTCAACTCCCTCTTCATTTCATGACAGTATCTTTCATAATTTTTTTCTATTAAAAGCAGAGTTTTATTCTTTTTAAAAATTATTTTATTGAAGTGTAGTTGACACAATGTTACATTAGTTCCAGGTGTACGACATAGTCATTCAGCAACTCTATACATTATGCTGTGCTCACCACAAGTGTAGCCACCATCTGTCACCACACAACGCTATTACAGTATCACTATTTTCCCTTGGTTGTGCTTTTTATTCTTGTGACCTATTCATTCTCTAACTGGAAGCCTATATCTCCCCTTCACCTATTTTGCCCATCCTCCCAACCCTCTCCCTCTGGCAACTACCCTATCCCTCTGTTTTCTGTATTTATGGGTCTGTTTCTGCTTTATTTTATTTTTTAGATTCCACGTGTAAGTGAAATTATATTTTATTTGTCTTTCTCTCTCTCTCATTTCACTTAGCATAATATGACCTAGGTTTATCCATGTTGTCTCTAATTGTAAGCTCTCATTCTTTTTTATGGTTGAATAATATTCCATTATATGTATTCCATTATATTTGTCTGTCTATGTCACATCTTCTTTATCCATTCATTATTCAATGGACACGTGGGCTGCTTCCCTAGCTTGGCTACTGTAAATAATGCTGCAATAAACATAGGGTGCATATATCTTTTCAAATTAACATTTTTGTTTTCTTTGGGCAAATACCCAATAGTGGAATTACCATATCATATGGTATTTCTTTCTTTTTTTTAAGATTTTTTTAAAGTAATCTCTACACCCAGTGTGATGCTCAAACTCACAACCCCAAGATCAAGAGTCGCATGTTCTTTTTATTTTTTTAATTTAATTTAATTTTATTATGTTAGTCACCAAGAGTCGTGTGTTCTACCAACTGAGCCAGCCAGGTGCCCCTATATGGCATTTCTATTTTTAACTTTTGAGGAACCCCAATACTGTTTTCCACAAGGGCTGCACCAATTTACATTCTCCCCAACAATGCACAAGGGTTATTTTTTCTCCATATCCTCATCAACACTTGTTAATCCTTGTCTTTTTGATACTAGCCATTCTGACAGGTGTGAGGTGATAATTCATTGTGGTTTTGATTTGCATTTCCCTGATGATTAGGGATGTTGAACATCTTTTCATGTATCTGTTGACCATCTTCTTCTTTAGAAAATCTCTATGCAGGTCCTCTGCCCATTTTAATTGGATTATTTGTTTTTTTGGTGTTGATTTAATCATTTTCTTATACTCTTCTTCCCTTGCCTTCAGCAGATGATCTACATACTACTCCACAGGGGAAATAAACCATCAAATAATAATTCCCTCAATTTGTGCCTTCTCATTTTCAATATCACCTGTTAGTACTTTCTTTACTGCTATAAATTCTTTTACCCACTTATTTACTCAACAAATATTAGAATTTCTACTGTGACCCAGGCACTATGCTAAAGTGTAGAAGAATGAATACATACAGTTTCAGTCAAGAGGAAGCAAGGCTTAAAATTATAATAGTGAGGCACATGCAAAGACTTTCCCCCCTGCATTTTCATATTTGCCCCTATCTTTCTCTTTTGTTTATTAAGCTGAGGTGGGATCTTTTCTCCTTCATATCAAGATGGTCAAGTCTTTCCCATTTTAAGAAATGAAAAGACTCTCTGGATTCTTTTTATGTTTCTAGAAACTATTCAGTCTTTCTCCTTCCCTTTATAGCCAGGCTTCCTGAGAAAATAATCTATACTTGTCTCTACACTCTTCTCTTCTGTTAGTGCCTCAATCTACTGCAATACCAGCTTTCATATTCACCACTCCACTGAAACTACTCACTGAGGTCATAGATGAATTTTTTGTTGCCAAACACTATGCACACATCTTGGCCTTTATTTTATGTTACTGCAGCATTCCAGACTATTGACTCTTCCCCACTTGGAAATTTCTCCTTTTCTTTTCCTGATTTGATTCTTTCTTGACATTCAACTTACTTCTCTGAATGCTCCTTTTTAGGCTCTTCCATGGGCAATTGTTCCTCATTTGACACCTTATATTTAAATATCTTAAGATCTCTTTTCATTCCACACAGTCTATCTGGGCCATCTTTTTCATTCCCATGTTTTCAGTTTCCATCTATGTGATTCCAAACTTCAGAGTTACAACCCAGATCTCTCTCCTACCAGATACCTATTCCAATTTTTTTTTTTTTTAAGATTTTATTTACTTATTTGACAGAGCACAAGAAGGGGGAGCAGCAGACAGAGGGAGAGGAGAAGCAGGCTCCCCTCTGAGCAGGGAGCCCGATGCGGAGCTCGATCCCAGGACCCTGGGATCATGACCTGAGCTGAAGGCAGACACTTAACCAACTGAGCCACCCAGGCATCCCGAGGTACCTATTCCTTACCGGGTTTCTCTACCTGCATGCTTTATCGGCACCTCAAATTCCACACAACTGGAAAGGAGCTTAACTTTCCACTTAGCCTTGTTCTCTCCTCTTCTATTTCCTGTATCAGTGATTGATTCTGCCATTCTAGGGATAATTCTAATGTCTTTCCTCTCCTTTATTCTCACCTTTCCATTTTATCAACAAATCAACGTTTACTCCCTAATATCACTTAAGTATATCACCTCTTTGTATTTTCTAGTAGTCACTATCACTCACCTAGTTTGCTACAATAATTTAAATGGTGTTCCCCTCCTCCAGTCTCTGAGAATCTGTTTTGTCTAGAGAATTATCTTCATAAAATGCACATGTGACCATGTCCTGTCTTTGCATATTATCATCCAGGGATTCCCTATTGCCATCAGCATAAAATTCTATATTCCTTACCTCTCCTGTTCACCTCGCTTTACTCTTCCCCTATCCAAGGTGCTCTGATCTCTCCCATCTCTGTATTCTTGTCCATCTTCTTAACTCTGCTTGTAAATCCCACCCCTTACTCCATGCTCTCCCTACCTAGCACCCACTTAGATTTTCAGAGTCAACTCAGTTTCACCTATCCAACAAGCTGCCTTGCCTTCCTCCTTCCTGCTGGTCTGGGCTAACTCTTCTTTGCCTGTGCTCCAGTATTGCCATCAGAACCCTTTTACACTTACTGCATTGATTATAGTATCTGTTAGCCTGTTTCTTCTAAGAGATTTTCAAATTTGAGGGCAGAGACGATTCAAAGATTTTATTTATTTGACGGAGAGAGACAGTGAGAGAGGGAACACCAGCAGGGGGAGTGGGAGAGGGAGAAGCAGGCTTCCCGCTGAGCAGGGAGCCCGATGTGGGGCTGGATCCCAGGACATTGGGATCATGACCTAAGCCGAAGGCAGATGCTCAAGGACTGAGCCACCCAGGCGCCCCGGCAGAGACGATTCAAAATGGGTACAAAATATGTACAAAGTAAGCTTATGTATCCTAATTAAAGCCTTTGTTGCCTGTTTAGAAGTGCCATTTGTTTCCCAGTCTGGGTTTAGCATGTGGGTGTTTAACCAGCTAACAGTTTGTTTAATAATGAACAGTACCCCACTGCCTTCTAATTTGATACTAGGGTCATGGGCTTACCCAGTGTAATATTTTGACTCCCTGCCTATTTTGCAACCTAATTGAGGAGTCTCCGTTTGCAGGCTTTCCAAAGGAAAGTTAATTGCAGATCATAGGCTCCAAAGCTATCTGGTTGGCAGAATACTACAAGGGACTTTGGCTCCTTGATGGAATGAAGCAAACTTTTATCTCAGAGTGAAAGAATAATGTTGCCAAAGTGCTACTTTTTTAGGCATAGCAGAAGTAATCCTGTAGAAATCAAGAAAATGTTACCAGTGTTAGGAAAAGCATCAGTTGACTTTGCTATACCGTAGCTTTACATCCTTGCCACAGAGAAACACACTTAGTGGGAAGACTACCATGACTGTATATGTCACTGTAGAAAATTTTGAAAATACAGCTAAGCCCAAAGAAAAGTAAAAATTACTCAAGACCTTATCTCTCAAGGTAGTTGGAGCTAGCATTTATATATATATTTATAATGAAATAGATATTATAATTATATATTATATATATTTATACACACATCATTCATTTATATAAAATATGCATGTTATACAAATAGATGAGCTTGTTCTATATATATTATTTTACAAATCTTTAAAAATTAACAACCTTGGGGAGCCTAGATGGCTCAGTCGGTTAAGCATCTGCCTTAGGCTCAGGTCATGATCCCAGGGTGCTGGGATCGAGGGCCACATCGGGCTCCCTGCTCGGCGGGGAGCCTGCTTCTCCCTCTGCCTCTGCCTGCTGCTTCCCCTGCTTGTGCTCTCTCTCTGTCAAATAAATAAATAAAATGTTTTAAAAAAATAAAAATTGACAACCTTATCAAAATTTTTCCATTTCATTAAATATTCCTCTACATCATTAAGAAATTTTTAAAATTTATTTATTTATTTATTTATTTATTTATCTATCTATCTGGGTGGGGGCAGAGGGAGAGGGAGAGAATCTTAAGCAGGTTTATGTACGATTCATCTAGTTTTACGTATGTTTGAACACACTCACGCATTTTGTGTGTATATATATTTATGTATTTCTATGTACCCATATGTGTGTATATGTACACATAGATATGTATATGTGTATACTCCTTTAAGTTTGTGTGTGCATAGAGACCCATGCACATATCTTCATTTGATCAAGATGCAAGGGCATCAGGGCACAGTCTTCTCTTTTCAGGGAGCTTATCTATATGGAAGACCAACCTTTGAAATACAGATAAAGTCCCTAAACAACATCAGTCAGTCAGACATTGAAATTTGCCCCCAATGAATGTTGGTTCCCTTTTCAGTAGGCGTTTGCTTCTTCAAGCATCTCCCTGTTAAAGAAACAGATTAATTTAAATAGAATCACTCTTTAATAACTTAAATTGGCCTTTTACAATCTGTTTTTTCATCCATTCATTCCTCTGCTCATCCTTCTGTAACCAGGGGTTGAATGAACACAATTTATGGAGCTTAACTAAAATGCAAATTTATTTTTGTCTTTATCTTTCACTGGGAGAAGTTTTTTCCTGTGCCTGCTTAAAAACCTAGGCAGTCCCTTTTTTTTCTGCCCATTCAAGTAATAAGATGTTCTATCAGGGCCTCGGAGTCACACAGCTCCAGGGGGCACCATTTGCATTGTAATCTTTGTAAATGAGACTCCTATAGTTCCAGTAGATTCTAATGGGAATTGGGCCCCTGGAGTTTTGCAACAGGACCTTGAGTCCTAAGGCCACGTTCATATCAAAATCATAGCTTTAATTCAGTATTGAGGAATGTTTTGTCTAACATATTAAAGAATACTTTACTCTTCATTCAAAATTGAGACTTCTCCTCTACACTCTACCTTCATTCCAGGGCCTGGCTGCAGGCAAGCCATAAACCTTCTTCCTTCTGGCCTCTAGGGTTGGAGGGCAGAATGGGAGGTAGAGAGAGGCGGCGCCCCTTTCATTGTCCTGGCCCTCAGGCTAGCTCTCCAGAGGTAGCAGTGCCTCATCCTCGGTGCCCTTCAGCTTCTGCCTGCAGCTGCTAGGTTGTCTTTAATCCTCTCAGACCATCCTTTTGGACAGGATACCTTTTTAAATGACCCCAGAATAATATTCCTACCCTTAGTTTTCATCTAGTTCCTAGAATTCCCATACTTTCGACCCACAATGAGAGGAGAGTGCAGTACCTTCCTAGTCACCTGCCTCTATGTTGCTGTAATAGTCTGCTTTAGCAGGCACAGGTGAGGGCCAGACATCATTACCTGGCACCCCTCACTCAGGACTGGGACTAGGGCGGAGCTAGTGAAAGGGGATGCCAGAATACTCAGCACTCAAGATAAAAATATTTTAGTGAAACATTAAAAAATATATATATATTAATGGAAACAAATACGATGAGCTAGATATCAAATTTTTATTTTTATTTTTAAGATTTTATTTATTTATTTGAGAGAGAGATAGTGAGAAAGAGCAGGAGCCAGGAGGAGAGGGAGAAGCAGGCTCCCCACTGAGCAGGAAACCCATCGCGGTGCTTGATCCCAGGACCCGGGGACCATGACCTAAGCCGAAGGCAGACACTTAACTGACTGCACCACCCAGACACCCCAAGATATCAAAATTTTAAATAAAGACAGGGTTAGTGCAAGAGATAGTGAATTCTCTGTCCAACTCCTCTATTCTGCTTACATCCCCACCTCTACAGTCAGTTCTTAGGAGCTCTTCTGAAACAGCTCATTCCATAATTTCTGATCAGTTTATCGTGAGTGTAAATAGAGACTCACCTTCAGAGGTGGAATGATGAGCTTGTATTGTTCAGAGGAAAATGAAGGACCTTCAAGCTAGTAAATTGTCAGTTCCTTTGTAAGAGTGTTTTCCATTGTTTTAACATAGTGGTTTAAGTCAGACTTTTTGTCAAAGAATACAGGTATGCTTGTCATTGTAGGCACTGAAATTTTTTTGAAACCTATTTTCAAAGTTTTTGTTTTTTAAGCTGATGTATTAAAGGGGTAATTTAATCAATAAATATGTGTTGTCTATATAGCTGACTTCATACAGAGCTATTGGCTCCAAGGATTTTGAGTAGTCGGAAAGAATTCTCTAAAATCAATTAGGGCGACTTTGGCCTGTTTGTGTAACCCAGGACAAATTAGTAAATTCCCCTCCTGAAGTCCAGCTGCAGCGTATGGTTCAGTAACACCCAGGGGTCAGCTATTGTTGCCTTGGTCCATTAAATGACCCTGCTCCGTAAGCACAGCCTAAAATTCATCTGGCTCAGTAAACAGCACTGTAATATGCTGGCCACAGAAAAGAGGATTTTATAGAACTGTTCCTGCTTGGAATAGCATAATCGGGAATTGAATTAATTATGATCCAAAAAGTTGTCTTAGCCCATGTCATATGAGTTCTAAAACCCCAAACGCCAAAATCTTACTATGTAAAAATGATCCATATAATACAAAAACAGGCACATAACTTGAATTGAATTTCACAACATGTTGTTTTCCTAAAATACAGTCTTAAGAGTTCTTGCAAATCAGTTCCTGCTGCTTTATAAATGACCATATTTACACCGAATTACAACAGCCCTCCTGCAGTGGAGGCCAGCTTGTTCAGAGAACGGATTAGGGCCCAATGACACCAGGGACTCTACAGCCCCATTCCTGCAAGTGAGCAGAAGGTCAGTGAAAATGAAGCATATCATGAAGTTCACATTTCTAACAAACATCTTGCAAAGAACAAAACGGGCATTCAAGAAACATGTACAAGTTTACTTAATATTCTTAATTAACATTAGCATTGATATGAAAGTATACACTTCACATACATACTACGAAGAATAACCAAATAAATCCCATTTTAGCCACTCCTAGTTTAAAAAGTGCAATAGTACTGTGGGAGGCCTCCCCGCTTAGTGCTCACTAGTTCCCAGTGGCTCTCTGCCTTGAGCACCTGAGAGGCTTTGCCTGCAGGCTTTCCTCTGGTCAAGAACCATGCTCAGCCCCTGCAAGCAGGGCATGCTGGATGTGCCAGGGAAGGAAGCCATCGGGAGCAACCCTCAAGTAATAATGGGAAGGAGCTAGTAGATAGATATCTAAGCTTCTTGGTCCCTCAGGTGGGATGACTTTGACATGTATTCTCTACAGCGTTTAAGAGGTCCCCAGTGATATTGAGCCTCGGTTGCTCACAGTAATAATCTGCTTATAACTTACCTGTGTAGACTTCCTCTCTCTTCCTTCCCTTCCCATTTGACTTCTCTACTCCCTTACCAGTATCTGCTGGGATAACTTCCTACTTACCTCAGATTCTTACATCAGGTTTTGCTTCTAGGGACTCTAACAATTGCCAATACTGTTGAAGCTCCTTATTTTCATCCCCAATTTTAACTCTCTGTTTCTGTCCAACCAAGGGTAACTACTGCTTTAATTTTTTTTTTTTATGTTTATCATTGCTTTGCCTTTTTAAGTTTCGTTAGATATATTAAAGATATCAGTAACTGGCAATACATGTTTAGGATTTTTTATTTTGAACAGAACAAATTTATTTCATACTGTATACACCCTTCTGTAATTTTTAAAGAACTAACCATTATGTTTCTAAGACTCATCCATGAGTTCCTTTTTGTTGATATGTCAATAAAGCTATGAATATCTCTGCCCATTGCTGCTGGTACACATGTACCAAGAGTTTACCTGTAAATGAAATTACTGAGTAATAGGCTCTGTGCATCTTCATTTTTTTAAAGTCACATTTCCTAGTAAAGACAATAGTTGTAATGCATATGTCTAATTTTGTTTCCTTTTAAAATCTCACTAAAGCTTTTAAGAAGGCAAAAATACACAGAGATGGGGAAAAGAGAAGATGAGACAATATCAGTAAAATTTCTAAATCTGGAAAGTAAATGGATGAATGGTAAACTGCTTGGTAGGACTGAGAAAGCCAAACCTAACTTAGGGTAAGGGGTGCTGGGAAGGAATCAGAGAACAAACTTAATTTATACTGCAGAATCTTCAAAAGGCCCCATAATTGGTGTCTCTGGAAGATGGGACTAAAGGAGCTAGCTGAAATAATAGTGAATTGATTGAAAGTGTTTAAAGAAGCAGTTAAATTCTCAAATCGCCTTCTCTATACTAAGCCCGTGAGCAATTATTCCTCACAGCCAGCCGAATTATTCTCCAGAGAAGCTAGCACAGAACTGACTGAGGAAAAGTAGACACAGTTGAGGACACAAATACTGTAAAGAAACAGGAAGATTAATTGAATGTGTGCCTATTAAATATCAAGAGATCCACCCTATTCACTTTTTAGAACACCGGAAGCCAGGCCTTTACTCTCTATACAAGATTTTAGAACTCTGGGGGATCTGACCAGACCACGAAGAAAGACCTGAAGAAAATGTCATTGCACTTTCCCCAACAAATGGCCCACCTAGATCACCCAAAGGGAAGTTCACAGTTGACAAGCTCACCAGGCCTTTAGTCACAGACCTTGAAAAACGAACATTTAATTAAGGAGACATTTGAGAAAAGAAATCTCTAATATGGAAGAGAGAGAGAGCAAAACAAATGGATGATAGATTTTAGATCTATGTGGGAAGAATAAAACTTCAAAAATAAAAGTAGGAGTGTAACTCTCATTAATATTTTCAGAAATGTAAGAGAATATGTTTCTTTGGAACAAAAATAGGATGCCATGAAAATTGAACAGAGAATCAGAAACTGCTCTTAGAAATTAAAAATATGAGGGGCGCCTGGGTGGCTCAGTTGTTGGGCGTCTGCCTTCGGCTCAGGTCATGTTCCCAGGGTCCTGGGATCGAGCCCCGCATCGGGCTCCTTGCTCTGCGGGGAGCCTGCTTCTCCCTCTTCCACTCCCCCTGCTTGTGTTCCCTCTCTTGCTGTGTCTCTCACTGTCAAATAAATAAATAAAATCTTTAAAAAGAAAAAAAAGAAATTAAAAATATGATGGAAGAAATGAAATACTTAATAAAAGAGCTGGATGATAAAGAAACATCCCAGAAAATATATTAAAAAGACAAAGAAAAGGAAATTAGAGGAACAGTCTAGGAGTCATAACATTTGAGAAACAGAAATTCAGAATTGAAGAACGGAAGGCAGGAAACCATGCAGCATGTAAGTCACAAGAAAATTCCCCAAATGAAAGATATTTTCCACATTGAATAGGCCCACCAAGTACTTAGTACAGTGGGTGAGAATAGGATCACACTCAGGCACAAAGTGAAATTTCATGTATGTGGGCAAAAAGAAATAATTTTATAAATTTCTGTGATTCTGGGGGGTAGGGTGAGGTGGCAGGGACAGGTGACATACACATCATAATCATGATGGGTTTAAATTTCTCAACAGCATACTGGAAGTTAGATGATCAAGGAGCATTGCCTGCAAAATATAAAGGAAATTGTTGCTTATTTTTCTAATCTAGAATTCTATCCAAACTATCAACTGAGTATTAGGATAGACTACAGATGTTTTCCAGTTATACGTGTCTCAAAAAATTTATCTCATAAACATCTTTTCTGAGAAGCTGCTGGAGGACAAATGTGCATATGAAACTTGGATTTAAAAAAACCCTTAAAACAGATTTTAAAAATAGGGGAAAAAATAATACCAAATAAGTTTTTCAAAGTGGTATATCAATGTATGCTCCCTAAAACAGTGTATATAAGAGTACTTAGCCACGTCTTCATCAATAATTATTTTTCCTCTAAAAATTTGATAGGACTCATTGTGAATCTGTCTGAGCTTGATAGATCCTTTTTGTCTTCTTTATGGGAAATGTTTTAAAAGAGCAATTTAATTCCTTTAATTATAATAATATATATAAGGGTATAGTATAATAATATAATATATATAATACATATCATGTAATATGTATATTATATATACTATAATTTTTTTACTACTATAAATACTATCCATATTTTACATTTTTGAGTTGGTTTCAATCAATTATTTGTTTCTAGATGTTTTTCTTTTGTCTGTTACCAAAATTTTTTTCACTAATATATAAAATCTATCTGTTTTGGTTTTTTTCTCCTCTTAATTTTATTTTCTTGGTCATTAAACAGGAAATATTTATTCACACTCACTAATAACTAGAAAAATACAAATTTAAATAACAGTGTGATAAAATATTCTTCCCTCCAAATGTCTTCTCTTCATTTTGTATGTTGTAGATCACACCTAAATGGCTATTTTTCCTCTGAACTTAATGACTCTAAGAAATTTGTTATATATGCAGTGTGCATGTATGCATATATAGCTCTTACTACAGAAGTAATTTATGTTTATTGTTGAAAATCAGAAAATGCAGATAAGCAAAAAGGAGATAACCTTCAGTAATCCCTTCATTTAGGAATTGCCACTCTTCACATTTATTTTAGGTTGGGCTCCCTGAAAGACAGACTTGAAGACAGATAATTCAGTGCAGCTTATTGGGGAATGCTCTTGGGAAAACCCCTGTGAGGGGAGGCAGCAGGACTGGGCAGCAGGGAGAAGCTGGTCTGCTCTGCCACAGCAACCAAGTCCTTAACCAGTCCTCTGAGGAATTCTGGAACTGGAATAGCCCTTCAGAGTTGTGCCTCACTCAGACGAGGGGGCTGGGTCTTTGTTCTGAACCCTCATAGCCCAGGGACAGGACACAGGTTGCCCCCGGAGAGAACCATGAGCCAGGCAGCTCCCTTAGGCCTCAGATAATTTCTTGGCCCAGCTGTGAGCTGACAGTCAGCCTGGACAGTGAGTGCCTTTGTGCCTTGGTGGGGCGAGTGTAGGTCTTGAGGCGGCCGTGGCTAGGGCGAGAGGTGAATCTTGTCAGGACACCACAGCATCCACTAAAATCTACTTCTTGCACTGCTCGGGTCAACTTGCTTAATAAAATAAGTTGACTTCATCTGGGAACAGTTCCTCTAGGATTCTGACTGGTCTCTTTCTCTGGGGAAAAGTAGGTTAGTGGGATGAGCTAATAGTCCCAGGCAGGCAGCTATCCTTGGGGTGACAGCTGAGTTCATAATCTCTCTCTTCTTTTCCCCATTCTAGATTTGCCTTGCCTTAGGGACTTGCCCCGAGGAGCCTGGGATTCTGGCTCACACTGTGGCGGCTATAAGAGCAGCCCTATCTTCTGATACTCTGTCCTTAATTATTCCTGCCAGGATGGTGACTTCTTTCCTTGTCCATTGGCCTCTTGGGAAATAAGCGTTCCTAACTCATAGAGACCAGAGCTGGGGTAGGAAGTGGTGGTAACAGGGCAACTTTTACTTTTACTATTTCTCAGACCCCTGTATTCTCCGTGTTGAAGATAAAGCACCATATAACGGTTATTTCTTTCTTTCTTTTTTTTTTTTTTAGATTTTATTTATTTATTTGTCAGAGAGAGAGAGAGAGCAGGGGGAGTGGGAGAGGGAGAAGCAGGCTTCCGCGGAGCGGGGATCCTGATGTGGGACTCGATCCCAGGACCCTGAGATCATGACCTGAGCTGAAGGCAGCCGCTTAACGACTGAGCCACCCAGGCGCCCCATATAACGGTTATTTCTAAATATAAGTTATATACTGGAGGCTGATGCCCCACTCTTGCAGTGTAGGCACATACTCACCCCTTAGGCAAAATTCCTAAATTAGATTTGATGACCAAATGCCCATAGTAAAATCAGCTCACACACACAGCTCTGTTCCTTCCTAGGTCTGGGCCATGACAGAACACCCTGGGCCATCTACAAATGCTCTCCTCCTATCCCATTCCATATTGTGTGCTCTGCCTGGCAAGTAGCAGCCTGAGTTAGTGCTGCCTAGGAACCCTGCCCTGGTATGGAGGAATGGATTCTGACACGGAATTGTCCTGGCAAATAGCTTGTAAAACGAAGGATGTAATTGTAGTCGGTAAATACAAAGGGAAGTGTTAGTTAATACCTCACTATCCTATCATAGTTAAAATCCCCAGTGGGAAATAATAAATTATATATTCCAAAAAAAAGTATATATCCCAAGAAGAAAGGAGTCCGTTTCTGAAAGAGGTCCGTTGGGCCAACTTGAAAATGGGAATACAAACTTCAAAGAAAACTGTTCTTCTGACTTAGATAGCCTAATGAATGATTAACTGGCTGAAATATCATTGATGGTTATGACTGTGTTGTATATCAAGCTTGTTTAGGGCAAATAAAAGAGCACTTAAAGGATTATGCTGAAATAAGCAGATTGCAGCAAATGCTGTTTGTCCTCCTTTGCAATCAAATATTCACCTCAGCCTTTTTTTTTTTCTCATGTAAGAGAACCCCCCAAAAATTGATGATGGCTTTCTGTTTAATTGACGTGTGTGGGGGGTAATGTGGAGGAAAGAGGTCTGGAAGTTCTGAGAGGAGTAGGTAGAATAAGTAGGGATCACCCATGAGAAAACCCCCCTGGCTCTGATCTCCATCCCCTCGCTTGGTGGTGGGAGAAGTGCGCAGTGCTTCTCCCTCGGGGCCGCATGATTAGGATGCATGTTGGCAGGCCAACAAAGATGGCACAGGCGATGTCCACACTGTGATCCCCGTTGACCTGGGGGCAACAGCTCACGCAGGAAGGCCTGCAGTGACCTTTGCTCAGAGGCAGGCGGTGAGCCCATTGGGCCCCTTCCGCGTGACAGCATCGACAGGAACTTTGCAGCCAGACCAGAGTGCATATTCTGGCTCTATCAACTGCCAGCTATGTGACTTTGAGTAAGGAACCCAACTTTCTCTGCTTTGTTCTCGTGTCTGAAAAATGGGGATAAAATTATCTACTTAATGAGCTCATTATAAGGATAAAATGAGTTAGTATATGGAAAAGGCCTGGTGCATAGTTACTGCTTCAATAAATGTTCACCTCCTTCCCTCCACTGCTAGAAGGCCTTGCTATAATGCAGAGAACTGTCCTCTGGTCATGCTACAGAAAGATCCTCTTTAGGCATGAAATCACCTTCCAGTGGTGCCCAGGACACAGGCTTTAAGGCTCCTGTGGGCCGACTAAGGTGCAGGGCTCAGGGCAGGAGGATGTTTCACTGAACCTGTGGCAGGACAGTCGTCAGGCTCTCTTCGCCGGCTGGGGCAGAGCTCTCTCCTTGAAGAGCTGGAATAGCCCCATTCCCATCTGGAGTGTACCCCAGGGTTTGAAGAGGCTCCAAACTAGAGCAGCAAGGAAGGTCTACGGCTGAGCGGGGGACCAGCCTCACCCTGGATTTGGGTAAGCACCGCTAGCCTCACCTCCTCTTCTAAATCTCCTTTGAAATGCTTACTGTCTGTGATAAACTTGGAACAGACTACTTTTCCTCAGGGATGCTTTTTTGCGTGTCTTCCCCAGAGCCTCTTTCGAAGCTGGACTGGTCCCTTGGTTCTGATAATGAACAGTGATCATCCAACCTCTGGTGTGGCAACCTGCAGGAATCTTTGCCCTCCCAAATTGCTCCTGGATGTTGATTCAACCCATCAGGACATGGATGATAAATCAGAACAATAACCTTCACCCTTACTCCCAGACCTAGAAACAATTTGGTGAATAACCAGTAAGCAGTATTTATAACATATAAAATGTCAGCTCTCCCTTTGCCCCTCTTGGCCTAGGGCATGCCACATCCAGTTCGTCTTTGTTCCAGCTGTGAGAGGACTTATTGTCATCATTCCGGCCTGCTGCAATTAAGTGCTCTCCAAGCATATGATCTATGCAGAGGAGGAAGAGGACTGATAATGGATCGGATCTTTCAAGATCCTGCTTAAGCAACTGTAGATAATATGGAAGGGGAGGAAATTCTGGAAACCATCATTTTATTTATTTACCCCACAGCTTATTTTTTTATTTTAATTCCAGTGTAGTTAACATACAGAATTATATTAGTTTCAGGTATACAATACAGTGATTCAACACTTCCATATATCACTCAGTGCTCATCAAGATAAGTGTGCCTTTGATCCCCATCACTCATTTCACCTATCCCCCCCACCGACCCCCTTTCTAGGAAGCATCTGTTTGTTCTCTGCAGTTAAGAGTCTGTTTTTTAATTTCTCTCTCCTTTTTTTCCTTTGCTCATTTGTTTTGTTTCTTACATTGTACATATGAGTGAAATCATATGGTATTTGTCTTTCTCTGACTGGCTTATTCCGCTTAGTATTACAGTCTCTAGATCCATCCATGTTATTGCAAATGGCAAGATTTCATTCTTTTTATGGCTGAATAATATTCCATTGTATATATATATATACACCACATCAAAATAAAAAGCTTTTGCACACCAAAGGAAAAAACTAAAATACAACCTACTAAATAGGAGAAGATATTTGCAAATGACATATTCAATAAAGGGTTAGTAACCAAAATATTAAAGAACTTATACAACTCAACACCCCAAAAACCGAATAATCCAATTAAAAAATGAGCAGAAGACATGAAGACATTTCCCCAAAGAAGACATCCACATGGCCAACAGACACATGAAAAGATGCTCAACATCACTCATCATCGGGGAAATGCAAATCAGAACCATATGAGATATCACCTCACACCTGTCAGAATGGCTCAAATCAAAAACTCAAGAAACAATTGTTGGGTGAGCATGTGGAGGAAAAGGAACTCTCGTTCACTGTTGGTGTGAATGGAAACTGGTGCAGCCACTGTGGAAGACAGTATGGGGGTTCCTCAAGAAGTTAAAAATAGAGCTATCCTACAATTCAGGAATTTGAACTACTGGGTATTTACCCAAAGAATAAAAAATTTGAAGGCATATATGCACCCCAATGTTTATTGCAGCATTATTTATAATAGTCAAACTATGAAAGCAGCCCAGGTGTCCATCATTAGATGATTGGAAACCATCATTATTATCTTACTTCTGTCCTGTTGAAATTCAATGTTTTACTTTTCTCTTTCCTATGTAGATGGAATATGTTGTATTTCTGTTGAGATGAAAAAGCCAAATAATTAGAGAACAAAGTTCAAAGAGACTTCTAGGAGTCTCTCTAATAAAAGTGTTAATCACTGAATCATTACTTAAATGGCTTTTTGTGGCTGGGTCTTTAATCTCGAGATTGTAAGCAGTTAGAAGAAAAGAGCAATGTTTTAGATCAGTAGTTCTCAAACTTCAGCGTCCATCAGAATAACCTGGAGAGCTTATAAGAAACTAATCTTGCTCAGCCTGACCCTCAGCCAATCAGGCACAGGGCCTGAGCATCTGCATTTTTTTTTTAAAAGATTTTATTTATTTATTTGAGAGAGAATGAGAGAGAGCACATGAGAGGGGTTAGGGTCAGAGGGAGAAGCAGACTCCCTGCCGAGCAGGGAGCCCGATGCGGGACTCGATCCTGGGACTCCAGGACCATGACCTGAGCGGAAGGCAGTCGCTTAACCAACTGAGCCACCCAGGTGCCTGCATCTGCATTTTCAACAGGTGTTACTGGTGCTGCTGGTCCAGGAACCACACTTTGAAAATTACTGATTTACATAATAAAAGCCCGACCAGTTGGAACTGTTAGAGAGCAGAACTATTTTGTAACGCAAAGTACGGCAGATGTGATGGGGGAGACTTGGGTTCCCGTGGCAATTCCAATTCCGCAGACTACCAATGGTGAAGCAACTGAGTCTTTGAGACTCAGTTTCATCACCAGAAAGTCAGGAATGAAAATAATGCCTGTATCACAGAATTGTGGGCAAGATGAGATAAGGTCACGTGTGTGAAAGGGCTTGGTAAATGGCAAAGCACAATCTAAGTTTAACTCATTCTGGATGTGCTTTCAATAGTCAAGTTTTCTCTTCATAAGAATAAAAGCTTTTATTTTAACTTCTGGGATGGAAATCTTTCATCATTATCATCCTCGTGATAATAGTGACAATAATCATGGTCTTCTAGTCTCCTAGTGCACTTCCTGTGCTGGCTGGGCACTTAACACATCTTGTTTTTATCTTCCAAAAACCTCATAAAATCTACTTTCTTATATAAATTTTTGCTTACCTAAAAGGAATATAGACAGAATTAAAATTTGTTTTTGAAGATGGAGGAGGAGGCCATGAAGTAAGCAGTGCCTGCAGCCAAAAGCTCAAAAAGGCAAAGAAATGGCCTTTAGGAGGAATGCAGCTGTGCCGACCCATTTTAGACTTTTGATCCCCTGAACTGTAAGCTAGTAAGTTTGTGCTGTTTTAAATCCATACATTTGTGGTAATTTCTTACACCAGCAATAGGAAACTACTGCAATGACTTTTCAAGGAAAATTTTAGAAAATGGAGCACAGAGTTGACATGTTTCATTGTCCAGTTAGTAATTGTGAAAATCAGTCACCACCACTAGTGTCCAGGTACCGTCTCCTCGTGTTCAGGTTCAGGAACCATCTGCTTGTGTTTTTCATTGTCAAATGTGCTCCTCCTCCCGAATTTCATAATCTCCACCAAGAGAAGAAAAGAGCAACTCTGTTATACTCACAATGTTGTGGCTCTTTAGAACCTGTTTCTATGAAAATAGTATCTTGTTGCTTTTGCAGTTTCCTGATACCATTTATTTATATCGGTTATATTATTATTTCTGCCACAGTCACAACCATTGTACCGCCTACGAATCCTGGCTGTCAATGAACTGCCCATCATCAGGTTGGCGATCAGCATAAACGCAAGTCTCAGAATAGGAAGAAGAAAAGTGTGAATGATAACTTCTGGTCTTGTTAAATTTGCTTTTCAGAATTTGATAATACAAAATAGGACAATATACCTTACAACTATGCTTTTCTTGAACTCTTTAGGCCATATTTACTGCATTCTTCCCTAAAATGGGATCTCATTCAGTGTTGACTTCGCTCCTGCCTTCTATACAGCCTCTAGCAGGTGAGTAAGAAGAATGTTCTGCCTTGTACATTACGTCCCTTGAACAGCACAGTCCTTGACAGACCCGGGAAAGCAGATTTACCACATTGATTAGAAGCAGGAGAAGCCATTGATTGAAAAGGCCCATTGATATTGCAGAATGACAGTCTAGAAATACCTTACAGGAGATAGGCATAGCACTCCAAGAAAACCTTGTGATGCTCTGGTGTGGCGCTTTGTGGAGATGGTTAGGTAAATGAGGGGTTTGAAGCAAATATACAGGTTGGAGAACATGTTACAGTTAAATGGGTTTGCTAACATTCCCTGCCTCACCCCCACCCCTTCAGAAGGTTAGATCTTGAGACAGGCCACATATCCAGACACTTACCTAGGATTTCCGTCTTACAGTGGATCGGGATTAGAAAGGTAAAGAAAAGAAACAAATCCCCAGCATTCACTGCTTTTTATTAGATTTACTTAAACCACTTAAGGTCTGTGGAGTGATGTGGCCGTCACCCTCCAATTGGGTATCTGATTGAGTTGATTTAGAGGTGGAACAAGAGGCTAAGAGTATGGTTTTAGGGGTGTTCCTTCATTTGGAAATATAAGAATGAGGGATTAATGATTTCTTCCAACAGCCTCTATCAAAGAGTTTTATTGTCTGAATTTCTTGGGGATCTGATCCTAGTCTTGTGGCTTCTGACTTCATGCATTGTGAATTGTTTCCTCATGTGTTTTGCAATTATGAATTAGGAATTTGTCTTTACTGGCATAATTTCTATAGAAATTTTATGGGTCTATTTGGGGTTATGTTTTTCCAAAGACATTTTACCTTTGCTTTTGCCAGGTGTCTTTACTGGCCTGAGACTTCTTTTGTGATTACAGTCTAACTTGGGTAGTCCTGGATGATACTCAAACATCAAATCTGTGTTAATGAGGATGGACCCAATGTTATTATTAGCCCAGATTAAGACAGGCATGCTTCCTTTGTTTTCCAGTATCCCAGTGGATTTCTTCTGTCCCCCCAAAGCCCCCCTCCCCATCTTAATGTTCATTGAGGGCATAACTCTTCAAATGTTTCAGCCTTACTTGGAAAGCCATTACCCAAATACTCTGTTTCCTGCTTGGGTGGGTATTAAATGCCCTTCATGATATAGTTCTGCAAATATTCCTAGGTCTGACAGTATCAGTTCACAAGTTGACTGATTTGTTTTTTAATTAGCTTTATTTTGCCTCTGGGGAGTTCTCCTTCTTAAGAGTTCAAATATACATTTATTAAAGCCATTTGCTTTATTTTATACATTTATAAATATTTATGTATTTATATAAGTTATATATAATATTTAAGTATTATATTAATACTTTATAAATAGTTTTAATCATCATTCATAATTCGTATTTGAATAAATAGTGGGAAGACTTTCAACTTCTCTAGTCTGCCTTTAGATTTTCACACATATTGTTTCTTCTGCCTGGAATGTTCTCTTTCCTTTTCACTTAGCTAAACCAGATATCCACCATTAAGGAAGCCAACTGTGAGCCCTCAGGTTGGAACTAAGTACTCTCCACTCCCCACCCTCAGTGCATAGATAGAACTGTCCCTTATATGTAGTCTCCACTGGGCTAGAAGCTCTGTGAGGCCATACTTGTTTAGTTTACCCCAGCTGGATACGTAGTAGAGAATCAACTATTTGTGAATGAATGAGCATCTTCTGCTGATTTTGTTTGCTTATTAATTAATTAATTATTATTTTTATTTAAATTCAGTTTAGTTAACGTGTAGTGTATTATTAGTTTCAAGAGTAGAATTTAATGGCTCATCACTTGCATGTAACACCCAGGGCTCATTACATCCAGTGCCCTCCTTAATGCCCATCACCCAGTTACCCTATCCCTCCCCCACCCCCACTTCCCCTCCAGCAACCCTGTTTGTTCCCTATAGCTAAAAGTCTCTTATTGTTTGCCTCCCTGTTTTTATCTTATTTTATTTTTGCCTCCCTTCCCCTATGTTGATCTGTTTTGTTTCTTAAATTCCACATGAGTGAAAACATATGTCTTTGTCTTTCTCTGACTTATTTCACTTAGCATAATAGCCTCCACTTCCATCCACATCATTGCAAGTGACAAGATTTCATTCTTGCTGAGTAACATCCATCGTATTTATATACCACATCTTTATCCATTCATCTGTCAATGGACCATCTGGGCTCTTTCCATATTTTAGCTATTGTGGACATTGCTGCTATAAACATTGGGGTGTGTGTGCCCCTTCGGATCACTCTTTTTGTCTCCTTTGGATAAATACCTAGAAGTGCCGTTGCTGGGTTGTAGGGTAGCTCTGTTTTTAACTTTTTGAGGAACCTCCGTACTGTTTTCCAGAGTGGCTGCACCAGTTGGTGAGGATGCAGAGAAAGGGGCACCCTCT